AACCCCCGCCTCGCTGTTCCTCCTCTTTTGGGTCCGCGGGTCCCGGCTACCCTCTGGCCCCACAGCCTTCCTCCGGAGACCCTCCCTCCTTCCCCACCTTCCCGATCCTCCCGAAGCCCTGGCCCCCGACCCTCCTCGGCGGGCCCCACCCCCTGAGCCCCCGGCCTCAGGCCAGGCAAAGCCCGCAGTGGGGGAACGGGATTGGGAAAATAACAAATGGAGGCGGCGGCGGCAGGAGGGAAACTGGCGGGTGGGGGCGTGGGCAGCCGCCACGCCGGACCGGGCGGCAGAATCCGGGGCCCCAGCGGCGCAGACCTACCTGCTGTCGCTCGGGCCGGGCTGGCTGCTGCGAGCGGGGATTCCGGGCTCCGGCGCCTCTGGGGGCCGCCGGCGCAGCTCCCTGCCCCTTCTCTTCTCAGCTCGTCGCGCCGCGCGCGGCGGCGCGCCCCGCACCCCGGAGGCGGCGCGCCCCACTCCGCCTTTTCCGCCTGGCCCCAATCGCCCCGCCCCCTGGAGCAACCGATCCCAGCCTGCTCCCCCCCTCCCGGGCTCGCCGCCTCCTCCTCGGCGCCCGGCGGCGCGCGCCGCCGGCCGCGCCGCCCGGCGCGGCCCGCCCGGCCTCGCGCGCTTCCGACCCCCGCCCGCGCCCGCTACGCAGCCCGCACCCGCGCGATCCCGGGCCCCTCGGCCGCCTCGCCCACGGCCCCCGCCCCTTCCCCGGCGGCCGGCTCCCTCGCCCCCTCCTAGCCCCTCCCCGAGGCCGCGGTCCCTCCGAAATGGCCCGGCCCGAGGCCCCGACCCGGCACGGGGCTGCGGACCGGCTGGGCGGTGCGTCCAGCGGCTCGCACAGGAAAGCGGACGGCGAAGGGAGGGAGCCTGGGAGAGGGGGATGGGAGAAGGGAGGAAGAGGGAGAAGGAGGGAGCGCGGAGGAACGGAGGAGAGAGGGGCCAGGAGGGAGACGCGAGGGAGGGAGCGCGAGGCAAGCCGCGAGGGGGGAGAGAGGGGGAGCCGGAGAGGGGGAGGCGCCGCGCGAGTTGGCCGAGGCCGAAGCCGAGGGGGCCGGGGCGCGGGGAGGGCTCGCGGTGGCGGAATGTGGGGAGCCCGCGGGCCCGGCGCGGGAGAGGGCTAGGTAGGAGGGGCTTTGGGTGGTGAGGGCAGATGAGGGGAGGCTGAAGTTTGGGGGCGACCGGGTCTGTGGCAGAGGTGAAGTGGGAGGAGTTTGGGGGATCCTGGGGTAGAGATTGGGATAATGGGATTGGATTGGAAAGATGGAGCTGCCTGGGGGCTTTGTGGGTGCCTGGTGAGAAGTGAGAGAAGCTTTGGGTGAGGGGTCTGTGGCAGAGATGGAGCCAGATGGGTTTGGGGTCTATTATCAGAGAGAATGGGATGGAAGTTTGGGGTCATAAGGAGGGAGAAAAATTGAAATGATGACATATATAAGAAGATGGGGCTTCTGGAAGACAGTAAAGCTTTTGGGGGTGATTCGTGTTGGGAAAAGAGTCAGAAATATAATAATTGGGGGTGGGGGGGGTGAAGGAGAGCTGGAGAGAGAAGTCCAGAGGAAACGTCGGTGAGGAGAGAGGAGGGAACGTGAAGAACCTTAAGAAGGGATGAAGGAGGTGGACCCAGGTGCCAATTCTAGAGAAAATGGGTTCTGGGTGAGAAAGGAGGGCTCTGGATGGGAAAGGAGGGTGGGAGACACGGGGCTGGCTGGATCCTGGGGGTGGGGGCTCCCAGTGGAGCCCAGGAGGATTTACTTGGGCAAGCAGAACGGGGAAGAGGGGATAAGAAGATTGGAAGGAAATGTAAGCTGAACAAGGCCTTTGGCGGCAGTATGGAAGAGGAAGGATCATGGATGGGAAAATAAAATGGAGATGGGGCCGGCGCGGGGGCTCACGCCTGTCATCTCAGCACTTTGGGAGGCTGAGGCGGGCGGGTCACTTGTCAGGAGTTCAAGACTAGCCTGGCCAACATGGCGAAATCCCGTCTCTACTAAAAATACAAAAATTAGCCGGGTGTGGTGGCGCATGCCTGTAATCCCAGCTACTCGGGAGGCTGAGGCAGGAGAATCCTTGAACCTAGGAGGCAAAGGTTTCAGCGAGCAGAGATCGCACCACTGCAGTCCAGCCTGGGCGACAGAGCGAGACTCCGTCTCAAAAAAAAAAAAGAAACACAAAGAAAAAGAAAATGGAGATGGGAAAGGAGGGCAGTTAAAGGAAATGACAGATTTGGTGGGGTGGGGGGGTTGCTGGCAAGCCCATGGGTAGATAGGTAAGGGATACAGCTTGGAGGAGTGAGACACCATCCTCAGGCCTTCCATCTAGTGGCATCTCCATTTTCCTTCTCAAATCTGTTGAAAGTCATCACTGAAGATCCCGTGGGTCACAGGGAAGCAGTCGGGTGAAGATTGGGCTTAATGTGGACCCAAATCCCTAGGTATCCTTGTTCCTCAATCCCACCTGTTCTAAGGTGTAGATAGTCCCCACCACAGACTGCAGGCTCCTCCCAACCCTTCCCTCTCCCTCCCCTGCTCTCCAGGTAGCCTCTGGCAGTCAGTCTGCCGCCGGCCATGAAGCCAGCACCTCGGCTAGCCCACCACCAGTTCCTTCTCCTGGGCTCCCTCCTGGCCCTCCACCAAGCAGCAACATCTCCCAGGACAAAGGACACAGGGTGATTTTTGGCAGCAGAAATTGGGAAGGCCAGAGAATGGGAGGGAGGCAGGCTGGCAAACCGGAAGAGCTGGAGCTGGAGTGTGGATTGGGAGCCCTCAGTAGCGCTCCATATTTGGGGTGGGGGCCGGGTACTTGTGGGACCAGTCTTGCTGGAGGCTAAGGGTGGTCCCTGAACTGGCAAGATCCCACCTGCCTTCAGGGAAGGAAGGAGGTTGGCTCTGGAGCAGCTCAGTAGATTTTGTCTCACAATTCCTTGGGCCAGATTCAACAAAGTTCTGGGAATACTCAAAAGCTCTAAGCAAGATTCCAGAGCACTGGGGAACTGGGCGCAGGAACAGGAACACTTCCTTGGCCTGGGAATGAGTCATCACTCTGAAGTCCCTTGAATTGGTTGGCATTCACCACTCCATGCACACCTTCCCAGTCCCTCCCAGGGCCTCCCTGAGACCAGGCCAGCTCCCTGTCTCCCGGTGCGCCCCACTTCCTCTTGTTCTAGGGTAGCTCCTGCTCCTCCCCACCCCCAGCTTTGTTCCAGGGCCCCCCCTTTCCCCCTCGCCCTCTCTCCCCATTGCATTTCCTCTCTTTCTGCACCACTCAGTTCAGACTCCCACTGGGCCTTGGCTCAAGCCCTTTCCAAATCCCTTCCAGGCTGAGCTCTTCTCCCGTGTTTTTTAATCACTAAGGAACGGGCTACAATGGAGACTAAAAGAAAAATTTAGGCATATGTGGGGATAGGGGATGGTGAGAGTCACAAAAGAAACCAGTGTCTACCCTCTCCCATTTACCTGAGGCTTATAGTCCAGCTGCAGGGGACATCTCTCTCTCTCTCTCTCTCTCTCTCTCTCTCTCTCTCTCTCTCTCTCACACACACACACACACACACACACACACACACACACACACACGAGCGCGCGCGCGCCCGCGCACAGCCCCCGCCATCCCTCACCCCAGCTCCCTCTCTGGCTCAGCCCCCCACAACCCATTGGTCTCCAGGCAACGGCACAAAGGGAAAGTGGAGAGAAGGGCCTGGAAGGCCCAGGCAGAGCTAGCTGTAACCCAATCCAACCCCAGTACTTTGGGGATGGGGGGGGCCAGACTGTCAGAGAAGGCGACCTGGTGAGGAGGGATGAAAGAAAGGACAGAGGCTAGGAACTAGGCTCAAACTAGAATAGTCCTGGTCAGTCTGGGAGTTACTAAGGTAAGATAGGTATCAGGGACCCCAGAGAAAACTGAGAGGCACAGAGAAAAGTACAGGAAACCCCAAGGGAGGCATAAAGGGTCGCCAGGAGACAGGAGAAAAGGGAAAGATGAGATGCCCACACTGAAATTAAAAGGCACAGAAATGGAAAGGGGGCATGAAGCTCTTTGAATTGAAAATGGCTGAGGTGTCAGGGACCCAGGAAGGAGGGCAAGAAAAGAAATGGGCCATGCCTATACAAAACTAGAATCCTATTTTAGCCCTGGAGCTGAGCAGGATGGCAGAGGGAGCCAGGACCGGACCTTAGCAGAAGCAGAGTGGGAGGCCCACAGGGGACAGCTTGAAGTTCCTCCCACTTGGCCTCCAGTATGGCGTCCTGCAGAACTCTAACTCCCTCTAGTGGTTAGATCTCCCATGTGCAGACCCTATCTGTGGGACGCAAGGTTGCATCCAAGCCACGAGGAAGGGATTTGTCCCCCTCGGTGGTACCTAGAATGAGCATCTCAACGCTGAGGCCCCATAAGAGTTAACGAGTTATAGCTAAGGAGTCATATGTCTCTAGCCACATATTGGAACCCTACTATTAGTCTGACCCAGCCAGGGGTCTGTTAAGCACTTTCGTCCCTGAATTTTCAGTTTATTGGAGGACTCTGTTTCCTCAGGGCCTTCTCTATACTACCCCCAGAACCATTCTTCCTTCCCATTTCCCCATCTTGCAGTGAGTAATGGCCAGGAAGTCCTGTTCCATTCGAGAACCAGCCAGGCTTTTGTTGGCAGAGGTCCAGTACAGGAGCTGCTCCAGTCCACAAGCCCTTTGGATATGAAAACACCTTAGACCCCCTTTCCCCCAAAATACACATACACACACAATATTTTATGCTTTTAGGGGCTCTTGAACCCCTTAATTCACCCGGGTCTGGGAGCCAAGCCTGCTGCTAAAAAAGCAAGGGCCACATGCACCCCACCTAGCCAGAATGGGGTAGGCAGTGCCATCATCTTGGCCATATTTGTTGTCTGTCTTCCTCTTTTTGTGCCCTCCCCAGTTCTGCTGTCCAGTTTCACCAGCTTCCAGGTGCTCCATCTTCTCTCCCCTCATATGGACTAGAGTAAGACTCCTCAGACACAACAGTACACTGATTCAGACTTTAATGGTGGTGCTCATTTCAGTGCCACAGAGGTGCTGGCAACCGTGGAACGTGGCATGGGGAGTGAGAGGTTGGTCTGGTGCAGCTGGAGGAAGAACAGGGAACCTAGGGTTGGGGAGAGATGTAGAGAGGAAAACTCCCCCAGGCACACAGCCTCCGCTCTGGACCCACGCAGGCTTCAGTGAGTACACACAAAGGAACTGATGTCAAGGCCCTTTCTATGACCCTTCCCATTCTAGCAAGACCTCCTACCCCAGTCATCTTGGGATCTACAGCCACATGAAATACAGACACATCGTTCCCTCAAGTCAGGCCAGTTTTAGGCCATTGAGTTATGGGGAAATGATTAATGGGATGAATGAAAAGCAAATAAAATAAATAAATAAATAAATAAATAAATAAATACACTAAAGCCTTATTAGCCAGGCATGATCACACGCCCAGCACTCCCCTCCACCCCAGCACTATGCACAGTTCATGGCTCATATGCAAAGTGGAAAACACATGGGACAAGAGCAAAGCACAAGTGACACATGGTCCCTCTCTAACACCTCAGCACACCAACCCTGACACTCCCATCACAGACGCTGATCATTCTTCCACAGACCCCCTTTTATAATAACCGTCATTCACATTTCTAGTTTTTGAGGGAAGAGAGAAAGAGGAAGGAAGAAGTGGAAAGTGCAGAACCCCAGTGACTAGGGCTCAGAAAGGAGGGTGAGCAGAGGCAGCAAGAGGCCAGGTAAGCCAAGGAGCAGCCGGAGCAGGTCAACCAGGGAAGTTCTGGAAACCCTGGGACTCAGGGGATCTCACAGGGTGAACTATCACAGATCAGGACAGCAAGGTTCCAGGAGGATGAGACAGAGGTTCCACGTCTCCAGGCAAGCAAAGGAATCACAGCACACTGGGATTACGGAAGTTATGTCCGGCAAATCGAGCTTCATCCCCCAGCTCCTCCTCAATTCTGAGAGACATGAACCACAGAGGAAGTGGTCGGGGATGCAGAAGGATCCTGCTTCTCTCTCTAGGGGGTCCCCCAGACTCCAGCCACCCCCACACCACCTGCTTTTGTGTCCTGCCCCAAGGCTGAGCATTCCCTGGCTTTCCCATGTGATCTCTGGGATCTGTCAATCAGGCCATCAATAAACCCAGGAAGCAAAAACCAATATTATCTGGAAATGGACTGTCATCCAGGCCCTGGGTGCTAGAGATGGTCCGGCAGGCAAATGGGGCCTTTAGCCCTCTGGGCCAGGGGCTCCCACCCCAGGGACCCTCACCTCATGAGCTGGTTGTACTTAGCCAGACGTTCAGAACGGCACGGGGCACCAGTCTTGATCTGAAACATTTCAAAGGATTTGCAGCTCAGTGGCTGCCCTCTCACCCCTGAAAAGAAACTTCTGCTCTCCTGAAACTCCCCTGACACCCTCAAACACCTGGAAGGAGAGACCAGGTGGGTGAGCTAGAAATACCAGTCCCACAGAGAGTTATCTTCACTCACCAGGCTGCCTCACTCACCTGGCCTGTGCACAGCCCCACCACCAGGTCAGCAATGAATGTGTCCTCCGTCTCTCCTGAGCGATGACTCACCATGACACCCCAGCCATTCTCCTGGGCCAGCTTGCACCTGTATCCACACACAGCACTGCTTCTCCAGCCCTCACACTGGGCACTCTCTTCCCAGCCCCAACCTTGGTCTATATCAGGAAACATCTAGGGGAAAGCTATCTGGGAGGGGAGCAGAGAATCAGGGGTGGAGGGGCAGAGGTGAGAGAACTGTGATGATGATTCCAGGTTCCCTGCTCTCTTTGGCATCCCTGGGTAGAATTAGGCTGGAGCACTTGCAAGAGGAGTCTTATGGAAACGAGGAACACACAGGAGAGGGCCCGAAGTCACTCACGCTTGGATGGCTTCAGTGACCGAGCCGATCTGGTTGACCTTGAGCAGCAGACAGTTGCAGGCCTTTTCTTCCACTGCCCGCTCAATACGCTTTGGGTTGGTCACTGTCAGGTCATCACCCACAATCTGGATCCCTACATTGGCCGTGAACTTGGACCAGGCAGCCCAGTCATCCTGGTCAAACGGGTCCTCAATGGAGACCACTGCAGAGAGAGCATGGGGGGTGGGGGGTGTTCATCTTCCCTGGGCCTCTACATCAGGCAGGAACATGCCCCTTTATTCCCTGAAATGGACAGGCCCTTGGTTAACTATACCTGTTCATCCTCGCTAAGACAAATCCCCCCAGTGTAAGCCTGCCCTGATTCTTAACCTTTTTTTTTTTTGAGACAGTCTCACTCTGTCATCCAGGCTGGAGTGCAGTGACACAATATCAGCTCACTGCAACCTCCACCTCCCCAAATCAAGTGATCCTGCCACTTCAGCCTCCTGAGTAGCAGGGACTATAGGCATGTGGCACCACACTCAGCTAATTTTTAAAATTTTTGTAGAGATGAGGTCTCACTGTATTGCCAAGCCGGTCTCGAACTCCTAGATTCAAGCGATCCTTCTGCCTCGGCTTCCCAAAGTGATGAGATTACAGGCATGAGCCACCATGCCTGGCTCCTGATTCTTATTTAATAAAACCTTACAGGGAGAGGCCAGGCACAGTGGCTTATGCCTGTAATCCCAGCACTTTGGGATACTGAGGTGAACGTATCATTTGAGGACAGGAGTTCCCTGACCAACAGAGTGAAACTCCGTCTCTACTAAAAATACAAAAATTAGCCGAGCATAGTGGCACATGCCTGTAATCCCAGCTACTGGGGAGGCTGAGGCATGAGAATCACTTGAACCTGGGAAGCAGAGATCGCACCCCTGCATGCCAGCCTGGGCGACAAAGCAAGACTCTGTCTCAAAAAAAAAGACAGCCGGGCACAGTGGCTCAAGCCTGTAATCCCAGCACTTTGGGAGGCGGAGACGGGCGGATCACGAGGTCAGGAGATTGAGACCATCCTGGCTAACACGGTGAAACTCCATCTCTACTAAAAATACAAAAAAAAATTAGCCGGTCGTGGTGGCGGGCCCCTGTAGTCCCAGCTACACAGGAGGCTGAGGCAGGAGAATGGCATGAACCCGGGAGGCGGAACTTGCAGTGAGTGGAGATCACGCCACTGCACTCCAGCATGGGCGACAGAGCGAGACTCCATCTCAAAAACAAAACAAAACAAAACAAACAAACAAACAAAAAACAGGCCAGGTGCACTGACTCACGCCTGTAATCCCAGCACTTTGGAAGGCCAAAGCAAGTGGATCACCTGAGGTTGGGAGTTTGAAACCCACCTGGCAAACATGGCGAAACCACATCTTTACTAATCATACAAAAATTAGCCAGGCATGGTGGTGCGCACCTGTAATCCCAGCTACTTGGGAGGCTAAGAGAATCATGCAGTGAGCAGAGATCTCGCTCCACTTCCATGGGCTGGGCACAGTGGCTCATGCCTGTTATCCCAGCACTTTGGGAGGCCGAGGCATGTGGATCACTTGAGCCCAGGAGGTCGAGACCAGCCATGAGCACCATGGCTAAACCCTGTCTCTACAAAAAAAAAAAAAAATTAATTCAAAGCAAACCTGCCGGGTGTGGTGGCTCACGCCTATAATCCCAGCACTTTGGGAGGCCAAGGCAGGCGGATCACCTGAGTTGGGAGTTGGAGACCAGCCTGACCAACATGGAGAGACCTCTGTCTCTACTAAAAATACAAAATTAGCCAGGCACGGTGGCGCGTGCCTGTAATCCCAGCTATTCGGGAGGCTGAGGCAGAAGAATCGCTTGAATCCAGGAGGTGGAGGTTGTGGTGAGCCGAGATGGCGCCATTGCACTCCAGTCTGGGCAAGAAGAGTGAAACCCCGTCTCAAAAAAACAAAAAACAAAAAACAAACAACAACAACAACAACAAAAATCCAAAAAACAAAAAAATCTTCCAGTAACAAGGGTTCACAACCTAACTTTGCATTTTCCTGTTCTCACCCCCAGGAAGCCCTTCCTCATTGCTAATCCAAATCCTTAATTCTGCAATTATGTTTATTTTCTTTCGCTCTGTTTCAGGAAGATGGAGACCAACTGCCTCCTTCCTGGGGTAAAGGCCCTGGGCAGACTTGCAGAAGCTAATTCAGTCCCCCTCAGCCTTCTTTCTACTCACACATCAGTCCCAGCTCCATTCAGCATCCACAATTTCATCAATCAAAGATACCGAAATATTCTAGTTCTCTGCTAGATCCAGTCACCCTCTCACCATCCCTGGTTCCTTCCAGAGCCTTCCCCCTGACCCCAGTAATTTTCAGAACCCATGACTTCAATCAGGATCTGAGGCAGATAGAACAGATTAGTCTCGGGTACCTGCACTTTTACACTACATACAAAGCCCAGTCTTTGCAGGTGGCTCCTGCACCCTCTCCCTGGTTCTCAGGTTCTTCTTAGGACACCTCCACCTGGTGCCTGAGTCAGCACCCCATAAGGTCCAGAGTTGCTGGGACATTGCCTGCCCCCAGACCTCCCCCTCACACTGCTTCCTCTCACCAGGATAGTCCCTGACAAAGTCCTGGTAGAGTGTCCCCAGCTGGTCCCCAGTGATGTATCGGGAAGGATCAGCGGGAGACTTGAAGTCCAAGTCGTATTTGCCATCACGATGGAACTCGGAGGCAGCAACATCCATGCCAATGACGATCTTTTCCGTATAGCCAGCCTTGTCGATGGCTTCCTTCACCAGCTCCAAGGCTGGGGACAGAATACAGTGAGATTATAGTACAAGCAAGAGGGATGGGCGAGGAGGAGGGAAAGAAAAGACATTCAGGGCAGAGGTGGAGGACCGTTCCTGAGGGAAGTGTGCTGGGGTTGCTATTGGGGTTATCCCCAGGACTGGGAGGAGAGGACATCTAGGAACACAGAGCAGTGGAATTCTGCTAATAATACTTATTATCTTTTCATTGGCAGCATGTCGCCTAAGCATTTCATGTCTATTTCGTTTCAACCTCACACTACTATGAGCTAGATTCTGTTATTATTTCCAGAGAGAAGGAAGAAAGATCACCCGCAGTAACTTCACAAGTCAGGGTTCAAATACATCCAAGTAATTTGGCCCCAGAATCTTAACTTTTAACCACTACCTACATTGTTTCCATTCCCTATACAGTTTCTCCCAAGGCACAGAAAAATTAGGGGTTCTAGAGGCCTAGGAGGTTGGAATGGGGACAGGACAGATTTCGAACGGATGGGATGAATCCAACAGGTCACCCAGACCATCTCCCAGTATTCCCAAGGGCTCCAGTGACAACTTTTTTTTTTTGTTTTGAGACGGAGTCTCGCTCTGTTACCCAGGCTGGAGTGTAGTGGCACAATCTCGGCTCACCACAACCTCCGCCTCCCAGGTACAAGCCATCCTCCTGCTTCAGCCCCACTAGTAGCTGTGATTACAGGCACGCGCCACCATGCCCGGCTAATTTTTGTATTTTTAGTAGAGACGGGGTTTCACCATGTTGGCCAGGCTGGTCTCAAACTCCTGGTCTCACTCCTCAAGTGATCCACACGCCTCAGCCTCCCAAAGTGCTGGGATTACAGGCATGAGCCACCGCGCCTGGCCCTCCAGTGACAACTTAACAGATGCTAACACATCCGGCTAGGCAGATGAAAGACTGGCCCCCTAGGTCTGCATGTGAATTTGGGAAGCCCCCTGCAATCCCCTCTAAGAACTGGTAACTTTTGGAGTTTGCAGAGTCCGAGGACCCTCCACACCTACTCAGGACTTGGTGAAGTGTGTGGCCCTTTCTGATGTCCTGCAGTAGGGTAAGACTTAGAGCTGGCAGTGGGGCTCTTGGCCTCACCTTCACTGTTCTCGAGGATATTGGGGGCAAAGCCACCTTCATCCCCCACATTAGTGGCATCCTTGCCATATTTGTCCTTGATGACTCCCTTGAGTGTATGATAGACCTCTGCACCCAGTCGCATGGCATCCCGAAAGCTCTCAGCTCCCACTGGGAGGATCATGAACTCCTGCATGGCCAGCTTGTTTCCAGCATGAGAGCCACCATTGATCACGTTGAAGGCCTGGGAAGCCGCAGAAAGACAGAAGGGTCAAAGAGCCCCTCCCTGCCTGCCCCAGGAGTCTTAACTCAAGATCCCAAACTTCCCCCAGCTGCCCGGACTAAATCTCACGTCCCCATCCTTCCTCTTTACCTCCCCCAATTCACTTTCCTCCCATCATTCCTCATGAGTTGCATGCCCCCTCCCCCACCCGCCCCTGGGAGAGTCACAGGCACGGCTCAGCGCTCACCGGCACAGGCAGGATGAGGTCTGAGTTCCCGGCCAGCTGAGCAATGTGGCGATACAGGGGCAGTTCCCGCTCAGCTGCCCCTGCCTTACACACGGCCAGAGACACACCCAGGATGGCATTGGCCCCAAACTTGGCTGGAAGATTAAAGAGGAAGGTGCTGAGCACAATGTCCCCTTCCCCTTCTAGCTCCTGCCTCCATCTGTAGTCTCCAAAGGGCGCCAGTAAAGGAGACCCCCTCCTCCCTCCCTACCCCTGCCCCAGCAACACCTCATCCATGCTCTCCTGAAAACAGCAGGGAGAGGAATGGGTGGGGAGGAGGCGACTGGAAGCAGCAGAGAGCCGCACCTCTGTCCAAATATCCCTGAGACCACAGGCTCTCTCAGGCCAAGCCCCTCCTATATATGCTACAAAGAAGGTCTTCCTTCTGCCTAATGTCGGTGCCTCCCTCTGCAGCTAAACTCATCTCCCCTTGCTCCGGCTTTGGGAGGAGGAGGCCCCTGACAGTCATTCCTGAGGAAGCCATTACAGCACTGGCCCTTCAGCTCTCTATCTGCTCCACGCCTCCCCACCCTCATGCTTCCCCACTTTCTCCCAGCCCCGGCTCACATTTGTTCTCAGTCCCATCCAACTCCAGCATCAGGTTGTCCAGTTTCTCTTGCTCCACCACAGAGAGACCCTGAGGGCAGAGCCTCCATCACCCGGGGCCAGGCTGGAGGCTGAGCCCTCAGGCAGAGGGTCCCCTCATTCACACCCAAGCTCACATTTGGCCAGGGCCCAACCAGGTCCCTGTGACAGGGGCCTGCCTGGATTAGGGGACCTGAACCCCCATGGGACCAGGGGCAGTAAGGAATCTGTTCCCCACCCTTCCCCCTTGTGACCATGATTCCTAAAAGTGGGCATTCTTTCTCCCCTTCCTCCTGCCCTGCTCCAGGATTCCTTCCAGAACTCTGGCCCTGCTATCCCCAGCAAAGAGCGGGCCTCACTGAGCTGATGAGGGCTGGCGCGATGGTGGAGTTGATGTGGTCCACTGCCTTCAGGACACCTGGGGAAAGGAAGAGGCTGGACTGGGTCAGGCCAGGAGGGGCCGGAAGGGACAATGGGAGGAGGGGAAGGCATGCTAGAGGAGGACTGGGGACTGGTGTGAGGTAGGGGCATAAGGCTGAGGTTGGGGAAAGTCTGGGAAAGAGAAAGAACCTCACCTTTGCCTAAGTAACGCTGTTTGTCTCCATCTCTCAGCTCCAGGGCCTCATAGATGCCGGTAGAGGCTCCACTGGGCACTGCAGCCCTGAAAAGACCTAAAGGAGGAACATGGAATGAAAGGGAGTGAAGAGAACACAGGGCCAGGGAGTCCTTCAGCCTTCTGGCTCTAAACTTCCTGCCTACCACATCTAGCTCTCTCCCCACACTGCTCCCTAACGTCTCCCCCACCCCCCGCCACACACAGAGGCAGATGCACAAGAAGTGGCCTCCTCATCCGCCCATCTGAGGCCCCACATGCACAAGTGGGAGCCCGCAAAAAGGAAACTGCTCGCAGCACACGTCTGCACACATGCAGGTGCACAGGAAGACACACAGAGGCAGGGCATGCCTCACACGCTCAACTCGAACACAGACTCACCTACCCTGGCTCCCTGGACAAGGAGGATCCAACCTTTACAACCCAGGCTTGTGAGCCTGGCCCAGCACCCCATCCCCCTGGATATCAAAAAAGGCCTCCGAACCCCTGGCCAAACCCAGCCTGGCGGTGGAAAAGCTAGGGCTGTAGGAAGGCCCATGCCACACCCATTACCTTTGGCAGTATAGAGATCCACCTCCACTGTGGGGTTCCCGCGGGAGTCCAGGATCTCCCGGGCCCAGATCTTCTCTATGGACATGATGGCTGGGATCTCCTCGGGTGGAAGGGAAGGAAGGAGAAAGATAAGAGGCTTAGAGGGGTGGAGCCTGAGATCAATGGGCGGGGCAGGAGGCTGGGAGGGATGGGAAAGAGGTTACTGCAGTGGGGTTGGGGGCGGGTAGGGAGGTGCTGGCTGCAGTCTAGGGCTGTAGAAGGGATTCCCCCTCCCCCCTGGGAAGAGGAGAAGGTCAATGCAGTGAGGAAGGGGAGGTCACTGCAGTGGGGGGCGGGGTACGATCAAATGATGAGATGGGAGAACACTGCAGTGAGGAGGGGAGGGGCACGACAGTGGTTCCCGCGCCTCTTTGCAGCTTGGCCAGCCGGTGGGGTTCCCCCAGATCTCCTCAGAGCAGAATGGCTGCCAGGCTTGCATTTCTCCTGGGAGCCACGAAGAGGATGGGTTGCCTGGGCCTCTCTTCCAGAGCCCCCATCCCTCCCCAACCTAACACCTCAGCTGCCTGAACTCTGCCCCTTCCCCAAGGTCCCACTCTCTCCCAAACGTGTCTCCCTCCTCTTCCCGCGAAAGGCGCACGCAGTAGAGGTGTCGGGGGAGAGGATCCTGAGAAAGGCCCTGCAGTCCCTGGGGGTTGCAGGGGGAAGTGAAGAGGATAGGAGCCGGTGGGGAGTGGAGACCAGCTGGGCCTGTCCTCCTCCCTGCGCCCCGACAAATCCCCACTTCTTCCATCCCTCCCCCGTGCAGCTGAGGGGAGGAAGCGCGAACGGAGAGGGGCGTCGTGGGGAAGAGCAGAAGAGAGGGGAGTCCAAGGGAAGTCTGGCGGGGGGGCGGTGAGGAAGGGTGAGAGAAGACATTTCCCCAAATGCAAACCAAAAGGGACGCGCCAGGATAAAAATGCACCGCCCGGAGAGACTCCCAACTTAGAAACAAATGGACAGAACCGTAGGTGAGGGTGAGCACCGGGAGAAAGGCAGGCAAGGGTGGAGAGGCGCAGTTAGAGACAGGCGCGGAGAGGGCCAGAAAGCTAGGGCAGCGGGCGGGGAAGGCCAGGGAGGGAGGGCGCCCTGGGCGCGGGCGGCCGAGCAGGTGCGTAGCTGCACCGGGCCAGAGATGCGGAGAGGTGCGCAGCGGCACCGGGTAAAGGGGGCAGGGGCGCCGCGGCGAGGGGAGGGGGCCGCAGGGGCTCAGGGCCCGGCGGGGGCTTCACCTCTGGACTGCAGACTCAGCCAGTGGTAGTGGCGGTGGCGGTGGCGACGGCGACGGCGGCGCGGAGAGAGCGGGAGTGGCAGCAGCGGCGGCGGCGGCTGCGGCTCCCGGGCGGCGGGCGGAGGAGGCGCCTATAGGGCCGAGCGGGCGCATGTGACCCGGAGCCCCCGATGAGTCAGGAGCTGCCGGCGGAGGCGCACGTACTAGCGCGGGTGGGGGACCGACGCGGGTGGAGTGGGGGAGGGGGGAGGATGGGGGAAGGGTGGGGGCACCCACGACCTGGCCCCCCCGCGCACACAAGTGCTCATACCCACGGCCCAACCCACTCGAAAGTAACAGAGCCGCACCCCTGTAGCCCTGGTACGAAGGCCCACACTGCCAGTGAAGCTCAAGACAGACAGCCTTAATGTCTCACAAACCCGGTCAGACACAAGAGCATCACACTGTCTCTTTATTGGAAATCCGAACACCTCAGCCGCCTCCGCAAGTCTCTCCAACCACTCCTACCAGCACCCCGCGGCCCACGCAGGCTTGGCTCCCACCCACACCTGCCTGAGGGCGGCCCCCGGCCTAGGCTCCAGGCAGCGCTCAGGCCTAGGCACCCCACTCTGCACCCCACTCTGCACCCCACACTGCCCAGAGGACCCGCACAGAGCGGATCCTGGGCCTCAGGTTGTGATGAATTTCCAGCTTTGGGGCAAAAAGAGGCATCCTCTGTCCTCGCCCTAGGGGGTATGAATGTGGTGGCCCCCCTGGGAGTCCGATCAGGTCTGAAGGCCAGCGTTTTTGATCTCCTGGAGGTAGAAAACAGAAGTAAATAGGGACCGGGCGCTGTGCCTCACGCCTGTAATTCCAGCACTTTGGGAGGCTGAGGCGGGCACATCACGAGGTCAGAAGATCGAGACCATCCTGGCTAACGTGGTGAAACCCCGTTTCTACTAAAAATACAAAAATTAGCCAGGCCTGGTGGCATGCGCCTGTAGTCCCAGCTACTCGGGAAGCTGAGGCAGGAGAATTGCTTGAACCTGGGAGACGGAGTTTGCAGTGAGCCCAGATCATCACGCCATTGCACTCCAGCCTGGAGACTGAGGGAGACTCCCTCTCAAAAAAAAAAAAAAACCCGAAGTAAATAAATAAAGCCTCTGCCCTATCTAAAGTGCCTGGCGGCCATCCTCATCTCTTCAGTCTCCTTCTGCCTCACTCTGCCCTCTTTTCTTCCCCCACCTCTATGTCCTGTTATTTTTAGCTCAAATTTTTTGTGCAGGATCTTCCTCTCCTGCTTCTCTCCTAGGTCCAGCTGCATACACCACCAGCCTTCCCCTGCAGCCCCTACCATGCACCCACACCTGTCCTTTCCTAGCAGACTTCACTCTGTGTCAGGTATGGCTGCCCCACCCCCATCAACTCCTCTGCCGGCCACCCCAATTCTTTTCACTTACTCTTCTGGCCTCCTAAGCCTTTCTCAGCTGGTCCCAGGCCCCACGGGTCCCTTTTCCTCTCCCTGACTCCTAACCCTGCTCTCTTTAAGGGTTCTGCTTGTCTGATGCTTTCCTCCCCCACCTCCTTCTGCAGCAGCTTCCCCTCTTGCCTCTTTCCCTACCTGCCCAGCCCTTGGCCTCCTCCCACTGCCTCCCTGCAGGCTTCCTTACTATCTTTAGAGGCTAGAACTGCCGCTAGATCAATGACTGTTCCGGTTCCAGGTCACGCTTGGGCTCAGGCTCCTGCTCCTTCTCCTTGTCTTCCTTCAGACTCTGTCGAATCTCATCAGCCTCAGCCCGTTCCTCCTCCTCATAGAATTCCTTGTCCAGGCGTTCGAGGTATGGCATCTGCACCAGGGCCTCCTGGCGGTAGTTGGTTTCCTCCGTGCATGGGTTATCGAGCAGCACCAAGGCTCGCAGCTTGGGCAGGTCTCGAAGCTTGGCCAGCTCCCCCAGGTTGGCCACCATGTTGCCCCTGCCAGTGTGGTCAAGAGGGGTTCACGCAGGAATAACGGGCTTTGGTTGCCAGTTGCTAGGAATGGGGCTTCTGGGGGACTCTGCTACTGGGTTCCCGTTTCCCTAGAAACACTGAGGACTGGCCTGCCAAGCCTTGCCAGATTTACTGCAGAGGTGTTGTGCAACCCCACTCTGGTCCTGCTTCTGCTCTTCAAGGAATCCCTAAGTGCCATATTCTACTCTGTCATGTGTTCATGTGTTCTTTTGGTGCAGCAAAGCTAGGCCACAGCCCTGTCTTGTAGCTGGGGAGGAGAGGGCAAATTTTCCTCACAGGGAGACACGTTTTCTGTGATCACACCTAAACAGAAGGTAGAAGGTAGGACCCAGCCTGGGCAACATAGTGAGACCCCATCTCTACAAAAACTAAAAATAAAAAAATTAGGTGGGCGTGGTGGTACACACCTGTAGTCTCTGCTACTTGGCTGAGGAGGAGGGATCGCTTGACCCCAGGAGTCTGAGGTTACAGTGAGCCGAGATCGAGCCACTGCACTCTACCCTGTAGGACCTAGGTCAGGGGACAAGGAACTGGGATCTAAGCTGGAGTTTAGGGTGGTGGGTGCTCTGTTGGTGCTCCCCACAAAGGGAATCTAGGGCTACAGATGGGTTGGAGCCTCCCAACCTGGAGAATAAACTTCATCTCCTAATGTGCCTCATTATATGATACTCTATTTATTTTTTTATTTTTATTGAGATAGGGTCTCACTATGTCACCCTGGTTGGGGGTGCAGTGGCATGATCATAGCTCACTGCAGCCTTGAACTCCTGGGCTCAAGCGATCCTCTCACCTTAACTTCCCAAGTAGCTCCAGGCACGTGCCACCACACCTGGCTAATTTTAAAATTTTTTGTAGACACTGGGTCTCACTATGTTGCCCAGGCTGGTCTTGAATGCCTGGCCTCAAGCAGTCCTCTTGCCTTGGCCCCCCTAAAGTGCTGGGATTACAGGCATGAGCCACCGTGCCTGGCCTTTTATTTATTTTCACGTTCTGGCTTTAAGCCTTTATGAAATCATATTTAAGTGTTTCAGCCTGATCTCATGGTCGTGCTGAGCCTCACGCAGTGTTTCTCACCAGGAGGGCTACAGGCACTTTGTACTGGACTCTGCCTTGCATTGTTGGATGCTTAGCATGTCTGGCCCCAGAGGCACCTCCCAATCATTGAAACACCCTCACCCCCCTCCACACACACCCGACTTACTCTCAAAACATCCCCATTTAATAGCCACTCAGGAAGGGCCCATCACGCCTGTCTAGATCATTAACAGGAAGATGGCACATATACACACCCCATCAGATCTGTGTGGCAGACTTCGTGAAGAAGAGATTGCCCAGGGGGTCAGGATGAGAGTTGGGGCTTCCAGATGCAACCACCTCTCCCTACTTGGAGATGCTCTTTCCATTGCCAGCTCAAGAATCTGGTCTTGTTGACTAAGGAAAGAGGCAGTTTCCTTACATGTTTGCTTAAAGACACACACATAAAGTCCTCCATCCGACAAGAGTGGCTGATCTTCAGTGCCTTTCTACCAAAAGATTTTCTTACAAATGTCCTTCTCTCCTCAAATCTGAGCACATCTTGTGTTTTATATCAGTAAAAAGGTCATCCCTTACAGGTGGGGCTCAGGAGAAGAGAGGCAGGAAATGGGAAGGTGAATTGGGACCGAGGAAATGGAGAAGGGCAGTGGAAACTTATATAGGATAGGGCAAGGAAAAAAGAGTTGGAGCCACACTGTGAGCCCCTTAGGAATAGGAATCACCTCTGATTCCTTTATTTCTTTTAGAGACAGCTCACTCTGTCACCCAGGCTGGAGTGCAGTGGCACAATCATGGCTCACTGCAACCTTGAACTCCTGGGCTCAAGTGATCCTCCTACCTCAGCCTCCTAAGTAGCTGAAAGCACAGGTGTGCACCACGAGGCTCAGTTAATTTTTATTTTTAATTTAATATTTTAATTTTTATTTAATATTTTTTGTTTTGTTTTTGAGGCAGGGTCTGGCTCTGTCACCCATTCTGGAGTGCAGTGGCTTGATCTCAGCTCACTACAAACTCCACCTCTAGGCTCCAGCAATCCTCCCGCCTAAGCCTCCTGAGTAGCTGGGATTACAGGTGCTTGTCACCATGCCTGGCTAATTTTTGTATTTTGGGTAGAAACGGGATTTTGCCATGTTGCCCAGACTGGTCTCAAACTCCTACGCTCTAATTATCTGCCCGCTTCAGCTTCCCAAAATGCTACAACTACAGGTGTGAGCCACCATGCCCAGCCATTATTTTTACTTCTGTAGAAACATGGTCTTACTATGTTGCCCAGGCTGGTCCTGAACTCCTAGCCTCAAGTGATCCTCCCTCCTAAAGTGTTGGGAGTACAGGCATGAACCACCATGCCCAGCCTCTGATTCCTTTAAATGTCCCCAAAACACAGCACAAGGCCTGGCATATAGCACATTCTCAATAATTGTAGATTGAATGAATACAAATTCAGGGGTCACAAGCTATAAGGGACTTAGTGTTGCAACTCAGTGCAGAAGAAAGTAAGGAAAGGCGGGGTGAGGATCAGGGAGGAGGATGAGGTGAGTATCCAGCTGTAGGCTAGGACTGGGGAATTGGGCCAGGGAGGAACACAGACTCAAAAGCTGCACCTGGTCAGGGGTAGGGACAAGGTGGGGCTTAGAAGGGGTGCATACCTCAGGTTGAGGTACTGCAATGATTTCATTTCCCTGGAGAAGCCACTCAGAGTGTCAATCTGGTTGTCTCGAAGATGCAAGGTGGTGAGATTGCTCAGGTCCTCCAAGCCTTCCACCTTCTTCAGCAGGTTTTGGGCCTAGACCCCCAGGGCACAGTGGATTGATTGAGAGGGAGCAGGGACAGGGAAGAAAGAGAAGTCAGAATGAGATAATGCAAAAGAGGAAATCCAAGACTTCGAGAGGGAGGAGTGGAAGAAGGGAGTGGGGATGAGTAGAGATCAGTATAGAAAGTAAAGAAGTTCAGGAGAAGCTGCCATCCCAGAGAAAGGTCAGCAGTAACCCGCTACCACTCACCCCCCCAAAGCCACTTGGGATGGAGGAGATGCTTCAACCCACTCCCCACACGGCCCAGGAGCCCCCATGCCACCACTGAGGATTGCCATCAGCACCATCCCAGAATAACGAAGCTTAAGAGTCTAAAAGACTAAATATTTCAGTGGCTTCCTGTGGTGTTATTATATATAATGATTTTCATCCACAGTCCCTAGCTTATAACTCCCATAATAGCCCTTGTTACAGTCTTTTGTTATAAAGTTGGGTGTGCTGGGTCTCAGGGGCAGGTCTCAGGAACCTTCTCCTGTTGTCTTTTCACCTTGCCCCCAAGGGAAGGCTCTAATCTTTCCCGCTTCTCCCTCTTTCTGGTTGTGGTTTGTTTTTTTTTTTTTTTTTTTTTGAGACGGAGTCTTGCTCTGTTGCCCA